AATACAAATGGACTTTGCCAAAATGGAAATGAAAATTTCTGACAGTTGTGGGCAGTTTATTACATTTGTGGATGAGACTGTTCCCTTGGCCCTGTAGCTGAAGCTAAGGACAACACTGAAAAACTGTTAGAACAAGCTGTTTGTGGGTTTTTCTTGTTCACGACCTCTGGTACTGAATTTGCAGCTGCTAGTACATAAATTCCTAATGAATTGCAACCACTGTTGGACCAGTATCAAAAGTTGTTTCAAGAGCCAACTGAATTGCCTCCTAGCAGGCCTTGTGATCACAGAATTCCATTAGTGGAAGGAGCCAAAGTGGTTAACCAAAGGCCTTATAGAATTCCTCACCATCAGAAAGAAATTTTGGAGAAAATCATTAAAGAGCTACTGAAAAATGGGATAATCAAACCTAGCACAAGCCCATTTTCCTCTCCTGTGCTACTGGTCAAGAAAAAAGATGGGTCTTGGAGGTTATGCACTGATTACAGAAAATTGAATGCTATAACTATCAAGAACAAATATCCCATTCCTGTAATTGAGGACCTTCTGGATCAACTAAAAGGAGCTAAGATCTTTTCCAAAATTGACCTCAGAAATGGATATCACCAAATCAGAATGGCAGAGGAGGATATTCCAAAAACTGCATTTACTACTCACATGGGAATGTTTGAGTTTTTAGTTATGTCCTTTGGACTAACTAATGGCCCTCCCTCCTTCCAGGCATTAATGAACTTACTGTTTGGCCATCTCAAATTTGTAGTGGTTTTCTTTGATGATATCTTGGTGTTCAGCTTTTCCTTGAAAGAACACAAGGACCATTTAAAGCAAGTGTTGATATATTGCAAGCAAACAAGTTATATGCAAAAATGGAAAAATGCTCTTTTGGTCAGCAAGAGATTGAGTATTTGGGTCATGTGATTAACTCTGAGGGAGCTTCTACTGACCCATCTAAAATACAGTCCATTAGAGATTGGCCAACTCCCACTACTGTAACTGAACTGAGAAGTTTTTTGGGGCTAAGTGGATATTACAGAAGGTTCATCCAGGGATATGGAGTAATATGTAGACCACTATTTGACTGCTTAAAGAAGGAGGGTTTTTCCTGGAAAGAAGAGCAACAAGAAGCATTTGTAACTCTGAAAAACAAGCTTACCAATTAGCACTGCCCGATTTCTCCAAACCTTTCATTTTGGAAACTGATGCTTGTGGGTATGGATTGGGAGCTGTGTTGATGCAAGAGGGAAAGCCTATTTCTTACTTCAGCAAGAGCATTGGCCCCAAGGCAGCTGCAATGAGCACTTATGACAAGGAAGCCTTGGCCATAATTGAAGCTGTTAAGAAATGGAAGCATTATTTCTTAGCAACATCCTTAGTAATCAGAACTGATCAGGAAAGTCTGAAATATATTCAGGAACAGAAGATTACTGAAGGAATTCAACATAAACTGTTACTGAAGTTGCTAGGATATAATTTCACAATTGAGTACAAGAAAGGCAAGGAGAACAAGGTGGCTGATGCATTATCTAGAGTAAAACATGTGATTCATGCTTTAACTGCAACTGCCACTTCTCCTACTTGGGTCAAACAGGTCACAACTAGCTACAATCAGGATAGTAAAATCAAGGAGCTCATTGCTGAATGTGCTGTGGGCAAATCTGATACCTCTCCTTACTCCTTCAAAAATGGCATATTGAGATTTCACAATAAGATTGTAGTGGGATCTGCTTCTAACCTGAGACAGGAAATTCTCCAAACATTCCATAATTCAGAGTTAGGAGGCCATTCTGGTGAGAGGGCTACATACCAGAGAGTGAAATTAATTTTTCACTGGCAGGGTTTAAAACAAGATGTAGTGCAATTTGTCAAGCAATGTCCTGTTTGTTAGTTAAACAAAGCTGAGCACACTCCTTACCCTGGATTATTGGAACCACTTCCTGTGCCTGATTTTGCTTGGGCACATGTGAGCATGGATTTTGTGGAGTGGCTGCCTAAGTCTGAACACAAGAACTTGATTTTGGTAGTGGTTGACAGATTTACCAAGTACTCTCACTTCATTGCTATGAGACATCCTATTACAGTGCAGTCTGTTGCAAGAGCATTTGCTGATGATGTGTTCAGGTTGCATGGGATGCCCTTGGTGATTGTCACTAACAGAGACAGAATTTTCACTAGTCATTTATGGCAGCAACTGTTCAAGTCCTTGAAGATCAAGTTGCATTTGAGCACGAGCTACCACCCTCAGACCGATGGCCAAACTGAAAGGGTTAACCAGTGTTTGGAGAATTACTTGAGGTGTATGTGTTTCCAACAACCAAGGAAGTGGCATGGGTGGTTGTCACTAGCTGAGTGGTGGTACAACACTTTCTTCCACACATCACTAAAAATGACACCCTTTCAAGCTCTGTATGGTTTTCCTCCCCCTATGATTGCTGAATCTGCCTTACCTGATGCAATTTGTGAGGACAATGAAGATCTCTTGCATACAGAGAAGTGGCACTGGAAGTGATCAAGCATAATTTGCTAAAAGCCCAATCTAGAATGAAGTTTTTTGCAGATAAGAAGAGGACAGAGAGAGAATTTGTAGTGGGGGACATGGTCTATTTGAAGTTGCAACCCTATAGACATACTTCTCTCATCCTGCATAGGCACATGAAGCTGCACTCTAAATTTTATGGCCCCTTCAGGATAATGGAAAGAATTGGAAATCATGCATATAAATTGTTGCTGCCAGAGGGTTGTCAGTTGCATGACACATTTCATGTCAGACTAAAGAAGCACATTGGTCCAGCAGTCATTCCTTCCCCTATGCTACCATTAGTTGGTCCTAATGGAATTATCAAAATGGAACCTAAAGCTGTGCTGGAAAGAACTCTGGTCCCAAGGAAGCAAGGAAGCATCAGTATTCCTGTGGTCAGGTGGTTAGTCAAATGGACCAACATGCCCGTGGAGGAAGCTACTTGGGAAGATTCTGCATTTATCCAGAAAGTTTTTCCTTCTTTTAGAGCTTGAGGACAAGCTCCGTCTCAATTGGAGGGTATTGTCAGGCCCAGTTCATATCATTCCCCTGTTCCAGCGTGCCGGAAGTCACTATAGCCGTAGATCTGTCATCGTGTGGCTCTGAATCGAAGATAACGGTTCGATCAAGCGGGCAGCTCTCCTCCGTCGATCTGCGATCCAAGGGCGGGCAATGCTTAAGACACAGCTGTAGCTGCTCCGACAAGAGCATGTGCTCTGTTCCGGCTTTCTTTTGTTTTCCCTTCTTGTAATGGCTATAAAGCCAACTACCATGTGCGTGTGAGGGCATGACTTTGTGATTTGGGTGTAAACCCTAGCCGCCTGTGGCGTGCTGTACCAACTTTCCCCAATTTCAACAAGAACCCTAGCTAATCGCTCTCTGAATTCTCGGCTAAATTTCCTTGAGTGTGAGTTAAATTGCTTAGATCAGAGCTCTGATCCTGACACATTGTATCCATCTCGAAGCATGCATGACACGGTCTAGATAAAGTGCGCCAATGCCGCCTTGCGCTGAAAATGCGCTCCGATAAATGGGCCTTCTTCTGCTGTTTATTTATTTATTATTTTCGTCATAGGAGAAGTGGAGAAGGCATTTAAAATAAGGTAAGTGGAGCATAGGAATATACTAGTAGAAACTTGTGGCACTATTTAGCCATTTAATTCAAGAGTGAATTCCTTTTTTACCTCCAAAATTCGCGTTTGTGTGAAATTTCTCAATTTAGGCAAGTGTGTGTGACACATTTTACCGCGTTTAGTATTCCCCTCAAATTTGATGCTGACTGTGCATGCCACACGTGTGGTTTTATTTTGCCTCTTGGTTTTTCTTGTTTACTCCGGTGTTTAGATGCTCCAACCGAACCCAGCCAGCCACGCCCAACTTGCACCTAGCTGCTCGAGCCGCACCCGCAGGCCCTCACATCCGTCGGGCGCAGGGGCGTCGGCTCCCCGGATCTCCGCCCGCTCCTCATCAGTTGGAAAAGGCGTGGCTAAGGTGCTTAGGTAGCATCTTCCTTTTCTTCTTCCGAATTGGTCTGGTAGCATCTTCTATCATTGAATTGCAAGACTGTATAGCACGTATTGAATTGCAAGACTGTATAGCACGTTACAGAAACGAAAAGCGGCGAGACGCAACGTGGGTTTGCCCTGCCCTCTTGGTGGTTTACGGCGGCGCACCCACCAATCGGTCCGTCGGCCACCCCCGTGCCCCATGCTGGTGCGCGGGTCGCCGCCGTCGCCGTTCCGCGTCTTGGCCACGCGACGCTGCCGCCGGCGATAGGGTGCGATCACCGAGGCGCTATTCCGTTTCGTAGCGGAGAGGGTGAGGAGCGGAGGCAATGGCTTGTTTGGCGCTTTCTTTCGCTCGCCGCCGCTCTTGACCCCACGGCGGAGCGCGACGCATCCTCCACCCGGCGCTGCCTCGACACGTCTAACCCGCGCCGTCATGGTCGCGTCAGCCGCCCCGAACAGTGGGCCCGATCCGCACGTGACCCCGTATCTTGCAGCCGCTTTCTCCTGCTCGCTTCCGCTTAACTAATCAACTTCCTTTCTGCTGAGCTGTGGGCCTCATTCCCAATTCTGTGACAACGTAAATGATTACTCGCCGAGTTGCAATTTACGACAGCACCCTTATTCTCTCTCTCCTATTGCATCTTTTCACACACATAATAACCTCGTAAAAGCTGTGAGATTACACCCCGCGCGCCCACAAAAGCCCGGGAAAGGCATGCACCTGGCCGTCCGGGCGCACCTTCGGGAAATCGCGTGCGTTCACGAGCAGGGGTACATCCGTAAAACGCTTCCAAAGGCGAGGGGATCTATTCGCCTGTAAAAAACGCCCGATTCGTGGCCCTCGTCCCACTCTCGCTCCCACGCTCGTGCAAGCGGAACGGGGGAGAGCAGGACAGAGCGGGAGGGAGGCAGAGGCTGCAGTGTCGCAGCCCCCGGTTCGGAAGCCGACCTGGCCGGGGGTCTGTTGAGGTTGTGCGATGGCGAAGGGGGCGGTCGTGGGGACGACGGCGGTGGTGTGCGCCGCGGCCGCGGCTGCGGCGGCGGTCGGGGTGGCGGTGGTGGTGTCGCGGAGGAGGAGGAGGACGCGGGACGCGGAGGCGGGCAGGCGGAAGAAGGTGGCCGACGTGATCGAGGAGCTGGAGCAGACGTTGGCCACGCCGACGCCGCTGCTGCGCGGCATCGCGGACGCCATGGTGGAGGAGATGGAGCGCGGGCTGCGCGCCGACCCCCACGCCCCGCTCAAGATGCTCATCAGCTACGTCGACAATCTGCCCACCGGGTAACACCATCCTCTGCTTCTTCGTTTTTGCTCTCATCGCTGAGTGGCACGGACGGCACGTCCGTTTTTGTGTCAGTCTTGGCTGGAAATTGCGTAGTGTGGAGGTGGTTTGGAGTTCTGTAGTCTTCAGGCGGTTTGGAGCATGACTTGAAAAAAGAAAAGAAAAAGGGAATTGTCGAAATAAGGTTCGATTTTTTTTAACAAACTTGTTATGATACATATTGGTTCTGGAAGAAGGATCCGTTTTTGTTTTTTCCTCACCGGGTTGTTTGTTCTATGTGCGCCTTCAGCAATTTGTGAATATCTTCCGACATGACGCTCAATTATCAGTTTTGATCATATAATATGCCTGCATGAAGAATTATGATATGGCTCAGAACACAAGGATTTAAATAAAAACGTCACATACTGTTCGGTTTCTAGTGTTTGGAGGATGAGTAGAGACATGTGTACCCACATGCCTTCTCTAGTTCTCTTAATGAATGGACCATTTGTATTTCCTACCTACTTGTCGGGCTTATTACTATCAAGGCTCAAACCATTAAGGTATGGGTTTTTCCTTCTTCCAAGGCAGGATCCAGGCAATGAGTGTTTGCGTGCGTGTTCTTTTTTTTAGTCGGCATGGAAAAAAAATTATATGTCTAATTTACTATTTTATACTACCGACACCTCAAATATTGTCCATAAAAATGATGTTGCCTTCTTAGAAAGAATTACTTTGATTGGGTTATACTTTTGTTTCTACAATATGTTTGAGACTGAAAAATCTAGAGCGGGAAGTATTTGATAACAATCGTCTATGAAAATCTCATGAACAACTTAGAGAACTAAATATGTGGAACTTAGATGTAACTAAAAGTCTCATAAATATGTGTCCAAAAGTGAAAGATCTTGAATTATCTCTTTCTGAAATCTTCTGCTTATCTTTCCTCTGCTTTAATGACTTGTCCTACTACTTCAGGGATGAGCATGGGCTGTTTTATGCACTGGATCTTGGTGGGACCAACTTTCGTGTTCTACGGGTTCAGCTTGGAGGAAAGGAGAAACGTGCTGTCCAACAATATGAAGAGGTTCCCATTCCACCTCATCTGATGGTTGGGACTTCCACCGTAAGTGCATTTGATTGCTCTGCCAAGTCCCTTGTATTAGATTTCTTATTTATTTTTACATGGTTTACTTACTTACAAAAGTACAAATACAGGAACTATTTGATTTCATTGCGGCTGAGCTGGAAAGATTTGTTGAGACTGAAGGAGACGATTTCCACTTGCCTGAGGGCAGACATAGGGAACTGGGTTTCACCTTTTCTTTCCCAGTACACCAAACATCGATATCGTCAGGCACCCTCGTTAAGTGGACAAAGGGATTTTGCATCAATGGCACGGTAAAAATCAAATGATCACAGTACATACTTGGCTGACAGAATGATAATCGAATAAATCTTACTGTTATCTTTGACGACCAAGGCTTGCTCAAAGCGAAATTTCTTATCAAACACATGATTTTCACTATGAAATTCCCTGTTCATCTTAATATGGTAATTAAACTTCTCACATTTTATTCCTCTGAACCTACTTATTAATTGGATAGAAATTATCTTATAGCACTAGGGCTCTCCTTGCTTTTGACTTTTGGGTACTCTCCCTGACAAGTGTTCATCGACCACCTTGCACTGTTCTTCAGAATATGAGAAGTGTCTTTTATCCAATATTAGCATATACTATATTTGCTTTGATTTTGAACATGTGTAGTCCAAAACATAGAGCATGTTTAGAAAGATTACTTTTGATGTGATAGATATGCTTGTCAGTACTCATCGTATTTCTTTCTACTGTCAAATATCCTGTAACCAGTGTGTAACTAGCCATAGATCTCTCACAAAGCATAATTGTGCACAATTTACATTGTCTAGCTAGTTGTGCTTTTACATTGAAAAGTAATCTTTCTAAACATGCTCCATATGGGAGATGCCTATAAAACTGCAGTATACTAAATTACTCTAGCCAAAAGTGGAGTTATATTTCTTATACAACTGCAGTATACTAAATTACTAATAGGACTAACAACCATACCATTCATGTGCATTTTTATTATATATGGAGTCTACACAAACCACGATAAGTTGCGATCTTTGCCTTCCCTGCTGTTTCATGGCAACTTATTTCCTGCTGGAGCATACATGGTGTTACTTTAAGCATCGTTTTAGCTATATATCCACTTGAATTGCCATCACTGTTGTGCTTTTAGGTACTAAAATGTATTCATGTATCTGTGAAACCAGAGTTGTATTTGATATATGACTATAGTAGTCCTTATTTTTATCTGTATAACTACACCTTTTATAATCTGGCCTCACCGAATTAGCAGTAGGAACCATTCTCTTCTTTCCTTTTTATCCGATTAATTTGGAGATTTATATCCTCTTGGTGAACCTAGAGGCGGCTTTTAACCTTGTTTTTGTAATATAACTAGCCAAATTGCTCGCATAACTGCATAGCTAGTACTAAAAAGACGTACATTGATGCTCAAAATAGTGGTTTCTGTATGCAATTGAATGCTTATCACTGGAGAATTCGTGTTTTTCTTGTATAGTTGTAGCACTTCTCAACTATTTCTGATTTATCTGTATCGTTATAATCTCAACCCACTTAAATAAGTGGTATTGATCTTTCTCTTTCTTCTCTCATTAGTGTGGGAAGTTCTAGCATCTTAGGATGGACATCGAGGCTTCTTTTAACCTTGTGTTTAGTAAGATACTAGTAATAGATAATGGATGGTTGCAGTGGTGTTATTTATGATTGATTTCTGTGAGCTCAGGTTGGGAAAGATGTGGTGGCTGAACTGAGCAGTGCTATGGAGAGGCAGGGGCTTGATATGAAAGTTACAGCTTTGGTTCGTAAGCTCATTTGCTCCTTCAATTATGTATCATCTTAAACATTTCATTGACTGGCTTTTAGCTGTTGCCATTTCCTATGCATTCTGATGACGGCCTTAATCTTTTAGGTTATCTATCTATGTTGATGGAACGATCTGACAACATTTTTGTGCAGGTTAATGATACTGTAGGCACATTGGCTGGCGGGATCTATGCTGATAATGATGTCGTTGCTGCTGTAATATTGGGCACTGGGACAAATGCAGCGTATGTTGAGCATGTAGATGCAATTCCAAAATGGAAGGGACCACTACCTAGATCAGGAAACATGGTTAGTGTCTGACTTCCTTTGTGTGCTTGGAATACTGAAGGTCTTTTGCACCTTGTCCAGTCATATATATATATATATATATATATATATATATATATATATATATCCACTGCAACTTTTGTGTTGTATGATATTCACTTCAGTTGATAATTCAACAATTCGATTTTGATCTTTGGTATGCTGCAGGTAATCAACATGGAATGGGGAAACTTTAAGTCAGACAAGCTTCCCCGTTCTGACTACGATATTGCCTTGGATTTTGAAAGTTTGAACCCCGGCGAGCAGGTATGGTTTGTCTATTCTGGTTATTCCTGGCTATGTGTGGGTGTGTCATCTTGTCTAGCTCTTTGCCTCAGATGTATGAGAAGATGATTTCGGGCATGTATCTTGGAGAGGTTGTGCGAAGGATCTTGCTTAGGCTGGCTCATGATGCTTCCTTATTTGGTGATGTTGTTCCATCAAAATTGGAGAAACTATTTGTACTGAGGTGCGCTTCCATGTCCCACCCATTGAATCTTTAGCTTTATTAATAGTAAACTATAAGAATATAATTAGATATAATCTAGATTGCGTGACATGCTTACTCTAAACTATGTTATTGATTATAGTTCTATCTGTATATTTTTGTACTCTTGGTTATATTGTACATATGAAACTAAAATCAATGAGTTAACGGTTCAGGATTTGGTAGTATTTGGTTGTTAGGTCTGGTCTCCATAGTTTGTGTGCACTGTTATTAATGAAAATAAAATTTAGAGGCAACTGTTTGTAATGTTTTCCATTTTTTGACTCCATTTTAGTTTTCTAGCGCATGGTGCAAAATAACGCTTTCTGAAATTTCCTGTATGCCTTGGGATCAGCCCTTTCCAGCCAACTCAGAAGTTTATCATGAACTTTGCAAATTATAAGGGTCTCTAGTATGACCATGGCGAGTTTGTGGCTACTGGATTTGGACCTTGAAGCTCCCAGACTCCCACTACGCAAAATAAATAAAAAACAGGAAAATGAAAGAAGGAAAAAAAACTCTGCTCACTGTCCCCTCAAGGCCCTACCATACACTAATCTCACAAGAAGTGACGATCTGTTCTGTCTTTCAATGAAATGAAACGGGCTTTCTCCTGTGAGTTAGAGCAACTCCAATTGGGCGACCCATTTCGTCCGCGGCCGTCCATTTGGGTCGGCGCGGACAGAAAAGTCGGCCCAACGCATCGACCCAAATGGACGTGCGCTCGTTTTCGTCCGCCTGTCGACCCATTCCCGGCCCATTTTCGAGCCGGATTTGCGTCGGCGCGGACACAAGACGGATGCGCGCGTGCTTGCCCTCTTTCCTCACCGGACCCGCTGGTCGGTGGCACATTGGATTGGCCTCTCCATATCAAACAACACACCCTCGCCCGCCTGCTTCGTCGCCGATGCCGCCGGCCATTTTTTCCGATAAAAAGATAGTTCTAGCGTACACAGGTAAAAGAAAAGACCAACTACTCGTCGCTTTCTGACTCCGACTCGGTAATGTCATCCTCCGACGTCTGAATGTAGGCGTCAGCATGCTGCTCGTCTTCGAAGTCCCAACCCGACGTTTCTCGTAGCTTCAGTTTCAATTGAGTGGCCTGCTTCCGCGAAAGCTTTTCAGTGATACCATGACACAAAATTCATTAATATGCGTGTGTGTTCATTAGCAGTGCTTCTTTCCAATCGATCACAGTTAATGAAGGAAGCTAATGTGCTTAACCTGTAGAAACTTTATTAAGCAAGTGGTAACTTTCAATTGTGGTATTGCAGGACGCCGGATATGTCAACCATGCATCATGACACCTCACATGATCTCAAACACCTTGGTGCTAAGCTGAAGGATATCCTGGGGGTATGTATGAATATGATGATACACGTACTCAAAAGAGGATATTGCTAAACCTGACCTTCAACAACCAATGACTACTTGTCACATGCTTGAATTTACATCTAGGTTGCCGATACTTCGCTGGAAGCAAGATACATAACCCTCCACGTCTGCGACAAGGTCGCGGAGAGAGGCGCGCGCCTGGCTGCCGCCGGCATATACGGCATCCTGAAGAAGCTGGGCAGGGACAGAGCGCCGAGTGACGGCAGTCCGAAGCAAAGGACCGTCGTCGCCATAGATGGCGGCCTCTACGAGCACTACAAGAAGTTCAGCTCCCGCGTCGAGGCGACGCTCGCGGAGCTGCTCGGGGAGGCGGCCGCCTCGTCGGTCGTCGTCAAGATGGCCAACGACGGCTCCGGCATCGGCGCCGCGCTTCTTGCGGCCTCACACTCCCAGTACAATGTCGTCGAGTAGTCCCAAGGAGAGGGAGTGAGCTCCTGGCGCGGCTTCTTGCTTTCGCCTCGATCACTTATTTTGCCATTTCTCTCCACTGATAGCTAGTCTTGTGCCAATGAGTTCCGTTTGCAACCGCGGGAAGGCGGAAACGGAGACGGAGGTTAGAATGACGCCGCTCCTTTCCTGCCAATTCTTTTTCCCTAAACCTGCAAGTTTCTGTTGCGATGCCATGTCGCGAACCAAACAGAGGAGACCTGCCTGCATCTGATCTTCTATAATTCAGAATAAGGAGGGTGGTATATATATGATCGCATAATCGAAACATTTATGATTTCTTCTGTTCCGTGATCCACATACTATATATATGCAATACATGTTCAGTTTTCCTAAACTGAAAATGGCTCCTCCACCATGAGCAGTTTTTTTTTCGAACACACCCACCATGAGCAGCTACCATGGAATGTGGGTAATGTAAATCAAAGAATCCTTTTTTTAACCTGTTTTTTTCCTGGTGATTTTTTTAACCTGGCTAATCAATCAAAAGAATGTGGAGCTAGGTTTGGACTTGCAACGCTCTCCTCTCCTTGATTCAGACAGTGCTGTCGAAGTCACTCGTGTACTCCCGGAGCGTCTGCAAGAGCGGAGTCACCTTGCCCTTCTTGTGCGTCTGCTCGGAGCACCTGAGCAGCTTCTGCAGCACGTACTTCATGGTCGGCCGCGACGACGGAGACGCGCTGGTGCACATCACGCCTAGCCTGAACACGAATTCGATCTCCTCCGAGAACCCCGCGTTTCTGATGCGACTATCTGTGGCTCCGTCGATGCTTCCTCCTGACTCGTGCCGGTGCCGCGCCCACTCCGCCAGGGACCCGTCCTCGCCGCGGTCGTGGGCCGCCCGCCCGGTGGTGAGCTCCAGGAGCACCACGCCGAAGCTGTACACGTCCACCTTCTCCGTCACACTCGTCGTGTTACCGCACTCTGCACGCCAGCATATGAAGGTGTGAAAATTTAGCTACTGACGAGTGACGACCAGGGATGGTTTGGTTCCTTACCTGGAGCTATGTAGCCAAACGACCTGGCAACGGCGGACATGCACTAGTAGAAAACAGGGCTTTGGTTCAGGCCGGGTCAGCCTATTAGTCCCGGTTCAGTCTAGAACCGGGACCAATATGGGCATTGGTCCCGGTTCTTGAGCCTAGGGGGCCGGCCGGACCACGTGGGTCATTGGTCCCGGTTCATCTGAACCTTTTGGTCCCGGTTGGTGGGATGAACCGGGACCAATGGGCCTCGCTCTTGGCCCACCACCATTGGTCCCGGTTGGTGGCTTGAACCGGGACCAAAGGCTCCCCTTTAGTCCCGGCTCATGTCACCAACCGGGACCAATGAGGTGCCTATATATACCCCCTCGCGCAAGAGCAGAGCACAGTGCTCTGTTTTTTCTGGCCGAGGGGGAGAGGGCTTTGTGGTGCTCTAGCTCACCTCTTATGCACATGAGGTGTTCGATGGAATGCCCGAGCCACACTACTTAAGCTTTCTCCTCTCGAAGCTCGACCTCCAAACTCCATTTTCCTCGAGATTTGTCTAGATTTAGCGGTCCGTCACGCCCCGTCCCCGTCTTCACCGCCGTCGATCACCCGCGCCGATCTCATCACCGACACCACCATGGTGAGTCTCTTGTTCTTATCTTCTTTCTGAAAGGAAAAATATTCTTACTTGTATGTTTAGATAGATACTTGTATCATTTTCTTACATTTATTATTGCATCTTATATAGTGCGATGGTTTTGGTATCCGTCCCCGTCGGCCCTCGTCCTGTCTATGATTCGGATGTGGTATGTATATTATCTTTATAACTATTGGTTCATTTATTATTTATGAAAATTACGCCGACCAACGTGACATAGATTTTATTTATCTAGGATGTATGTGAATCGGAAATGCCAACCGACCCTATTGTCGAGAGGTTAAATTTAGTTGAAGAATAAAACAATTTGTTGAAGGAAAAAATAAAAAAAATTGAGGAGGAGAAGATGATATTAGAGTTGCATGTTGCGGATGTCGTCGATGATCACAAGATCAAGATGGATGCAATGCGCTTGAAGATTAGAAAGATTAGAAAATATGCCATTCATACCGAGGCTTGGTATCATTATGCCGTTGGATCAATTGTTACCTTAGTTGCGATTATGATCGCATTTGTTTTCGCATTGAAATGTTTTACATAGTTTCAATGTATGGTTTAATTAATTAGATGCTCTAGAGAGCTATATATTGTTAGATGAGAACTATGTATGCACTTTGGTTTTAATGTGATGATGAACTTCTATTAATTTGGACACTTAATTATATATAATGCACGCAGATGAACCGACAATGGATGTACGGTGACAGACACACCCGCGAGTACATTAAGGGCGTGCATGAGTTTCTCGATGCGGCTGAGGCAAACAAGCAGAATGGTTTTATGTGTTGTCCATGCACTGAATGTGGGAATACGAGGTCTTACTCTAACCGGAAAATCCTTCACTCCCACCTGCTTTACAAGGGTTTCATGCCACACTATAATGTTTGGACGAGGCACGAAGAAATAGGGGTTATGATGGAAGACGGCGAAGAAGAAGACTACGATGACAACTATGTGCCCTCTGAATACGGTGATGCTGCAACGGGGGGAGATGGTGAAGATCAAGAGGAACCAGACGATGTGCCCAATGATGCTGCAACGGGTGAAGCTGCTGAAAATCAAGAGGAACCAGACGATGTGCCCGATGATGATGATCTCCGCCAGGTCATTGTCGATGCAAGGACGCAATGCATTAGTCAAAAGGAGAAGCTGAAGTTCGATCACATGTTAGAGGATCACAAAAAAGGGTTATACCCCAATTGCGAAGATGGCAACACAAAGCTCGGTACCGTACTGGAATTGCTGCAGTGGAAGGCAGAGAATGCTGTGGCTGACAAAGGGTTTGAGAAACTACCGAAAATATTGAAGAAGAAGCTTCCAAAGGATAACGAATTGCCCGACAGTACATACGCAGCAAAGAAGGTCGTATGCCCTCTAGGATTGGAGGTGGAGAAGATACATGCATGCCCTAATGACTGCATCCTCTACCGCGGTGCATACAAGGATCTGAACGCATGCCCGATATGCGGTGCATTGTGGTATAAGATCAGACGAGATGACCCTGGTGATGTTGACGGCGAACCCCAGGAAGAGGGTTCCTGCGAAGGTGATGTGGTATGCTCCTATAATACCACGGTTGAAACGTCTGTTCAAAAACGAAGAGCATGCCAAGTTGATGCGATGGCACAATGAGAACTGAAAGAAAGATGGGAAGTTGAGAGCACCCGCTGACGGGTCGCAGTGGAGAAAAATCGAGAGAAAGTACTGGGATGAGTTTGCAAAGGACCCAAGGAATGTATGGTTTGCTTTAAGCGCGGATGGCATTAATCCTTTCGGGGAGCAGAGCAGCAATCACAGCACCTGGCCCGTGACTCTATGTATGTATAACCTTCCTCCTTGGATGTGCATGAAGCGGAAGTTCATTATGATGCCAGTTCTCATCCAAGGCCCTAAGCAATCCGGCAACGAAATTGATGTGTACCTAAGGCCATTAGTTGAAGAACTTTTACAGCTATGGAATGAAAACGGTGTACGTACGTGGGATGAGCACAGACAGGAGGAATTTAACCTTAAGGCGTTGTTGTTCGTGACCATCAACGATTGGCCCGCTCTCAGTAACCTTTCAGGACAGACAAACAAAGGATACCACGCATGCACGCACTGTTTAGATGACACTGAAAGTATATACCTGGACAAATGCAGGAAGAATGTGTACCTGGGCCATCGTCGATTTCTTCCGACCAACCATCAATGTTGAAAGAAAGGCAAGCATTTCAAAGGCGAGGCAGATCACCGGAAGAAGCCCGCCATGTGCACCGGTGATCACGTGCTTGCTATGGTCAATGATTTACACTACGTAATCTTTGGAAAGGGTCCCGGTGGACTAGCTGTTCCGAATGACGCTGAGGGACACGCACCCATGTGGAAGAAGAAATCTATATTTTGGGACCTACCCTACTGGAAAGACCTAGAGGTCCGTTCCTCAATCGACGTGATGCACGTGATGAAGAACCTTTGCGTGAACCTGCTAGGCTTCTTGGGCGTGTATGGGAAGACAAAAGATACACCTGAGGCACGGGAGGACCTGCAACATTTGCACGAAAAAGACGACATGCCTCCGAAGCAGTATAAAGGTCCTGCCAGCTACGCTCTTACGAAAGAAGAGAAAGAAATCTTCTTTGAATGCCTGCTTAGTATGAAGGTCACGACTGGCTTCTCGTCGAATATAAAGGGAATAATAAATATGCCAGAGAAAAAGTTTCAGAACCTAAAGTCTCATGACTGCCACGTGATTATGACGCAACTGCTTCCGGTTGCATTGAGGGGGCTTCTACCGAAAAACGTCTGATTAGCCATTGTGAAGCTATGTGCATTCCTCAATGCAATCTCTCAGAAGGTGATCGATCCAGAAATCGTACCAAGGCTAAGGAGTGATGTGGCGCAATGTCTTGTCAGTTTCGAGCTGATGTTCCCACCATCCTTCTTCAATATCATGACGCACGTCCTAGTTCATCTAGTCAACGAGATTGTCATCCTGGGGATCGTATTTCTACACAATATGTTCCCCTTTGAGAGGTTCATGGGAGTCCTAAAGAAATATGTCCGCAATCGCGCTAGGCCAGAAGGAACCATCTCCATGGGCCATCAAACAGAGGATGTTATCGGGTTTTGTGTTGACTTTATTCCTGGCCTTAACAAGATAGGTCTCTCTAAATCGCGGTATGAGGGGAGACTGGCTGGAAAAGGCACTCTTGGAAGAGACTCAATAATATGCAGGGACGGATATTCTTGGTCTCAAGCACACTACACAGTTCTATAGAACTCTACCTTGGTGACCCCGTATGTCGATGAACACAAGAACAGTCTGCGCTCCAAACACCCGGAGCAGTGCGACG